TATATATATATATATATATATTGCAATCTTAAAATATTTGTTGATGTATATTTTAATCTGATTAAGCAGTAAAGTATGGAACAGTTTACATTACATACTATGTATATACCTCTTCATTTGTAATTTGAGGTCGTAAAACGACATCACCCAAAACTTGAGTCACTAAATCCAATCCACGACGTTGTGCCGATGCAGCATAGATAAATGTATCTCTAGATGCTTGACAATCACATATAGCACCATGCTTTTCTAATGCTAGCATTATCTCATCCTTGCTATTATATGTGTTGGTGGACTGAAACAAACAATATAATAGTGCATGTATTTATAATAGAGATCATAAGTTAAGCATTTATTAAAAGACTTTAATGAAAGAATGGTCTATAATACATAAATTACTTATTAAAAATTATATATATTGCAGAATTATACTAGGTACACAAATATACATTAATAAACTATGTAATTTATTTTTTATATGCTAAAAATATTATAAAAATATTTAAAATATGGAATCTTACACCAAATGCCAGCTTTTCAAGAAAATGTGAGATACCATTGGGATATGCAACTTCATATCTTGGACCAGAATCGATAAGAACTAAAAATTAAATGTATATAAATCTTTATGTATCAACCTAGATAAATATAATTCAATTATATTGATTGCAATTGATATATTGATACAATAAAATTTGTATTATATCTTATGATGTAACTTACCACCTACAGTGCAAAATTGTCCAAATCGATTTTCTGATGCTACCTTTAAACCATTTGGTAAGACTGTAATTTGCGTTGTTTGATGTTCCTCCTTTGCAGTAGAGTAAACAGCTGTTGGCAAATTTGGAATAGGTTTTGTTAGTGGAGGAAATGGTGTAACACTTTTCTTTTGAACTTCTAATCCAGGAGGTTCTTTTTGAGAAGAGAAGTTACATCTCTGCCAGGCATTGAAGTATTTTGTCTGTGTATAACTAAAAAATCAAAGATTGTCATAAATAATATAAAGCTTTTTATTAAAAAATAGATACAATATAAATGTGTTTCATGTTACTCGTTACTTATAATGAAATTGGGGTTATTGAATCAATGACATTATAAAATATTCAACATTATGTTTCAGTACAATTACCTTTTCTTAACAGCAACAATTAATTGTTTCTGCGATATACCCGTAAACATTCTGTACATGTTGTCAACTCGAAGATTTGTAACATACAGATACGATTTATCTTTCGTCAGTTGCTGTCGAAAGTTATAGGAGTATATGTTTGAGATCTAATATAACCACTTTAAATATATCTATAAAAAAAAAAAAATGGTGAATGTCTTTAAATTTTGTATACTTTTACACATTTAATACACAAATTAACATACTCTAGACCATTCGGCAATAATATATTTTACTAATGCATAAGTTTAAATCGTCCAAAAGTTACGTTTTCTACACACAAGCGTGTTACGTTTTATTCCCTATTATTCATTGCAAACGAGACAATGGTTGCGTTCAGAAAACATAGCTGATCAGTGAGCGGTCAGTGATTATTGGTCCTTACTGTTAGATCTCTAACTTTAGACCAATTATATTGACGAATTGCTCAACTGTTGAGTTCGCTGAACGCACCCATTCAGTACTACAACCGCTCACTGAGCGCTCAATGAGCTCTTACATTTGATTGATATATACTTTGAGATATAAAAGAATATGCCAATGGGATGTAAAGGCCAAATCATACTAGCAATTGGCGATTGATGATTGACGATTGAAGATTAGAACTTGACCAATTGGAACAAAGCAAGCCAAGGCTAAAGCTTGTTGATTTGTTAAAATCTAATCTTTAATTGTCAATCGTCAATCGCCAATCGCTAGTATGATTTGGCCTTTAAAAGCTCACTGAGCGTTCAGTGAGCAATTGTAATACTGAATGGGCGCAATGGGTACGTTCAGCGAACTCAACAGTTGCACAACAGTTGAGCAATTCGTCAATATAATTGGTCTAAAGTTAGAGATCTAACAGTAAGGACCAATAATCACTGACCGCGGAACGTCTGCGATTGGTCAGATGTTCGATACGTGCAATCCGCAATACGCACAATACGCTCCATGGGACTCCACCCTTATGTATGTTGGGACTTATTTGCGGCATCGCAAAAATACTTGAATTTGAAATGTTGACGTGTGACGTGTAGTTTGCTTTGACAAGCGTGGAAAATTTTCAGAAGGATGGAATATTTTAAGAGTAGTTTGAAATCCGTTTTAGGGACCGCTCCCGCTGGCACACAACCTACAGGTGCTGATACAGTAAGTGCTAAAGTACTAGTCTAATAATATACATTCTACATATAAGAGGTTATTTCTTCGTATGTTTGAACAAATGTCACTCTGATAAACCTTTTTGTCAGAATAACAAACCAACTGACAAATAGCTGCTATTACTACATGATGCAATTAATTTTATATGATATTTCTTAATGCACAACAGGTGGAAAGGCTAGTAGACAGATTGCAATCATCTACTTTACTCGATGATAGAAGAGATGCTTGTCGTGCACTCAAGGCATTATCCCGCACATACCGTGTGGAAGTAGGTGCTCAAGGAATGGATGCACTGAGACAGGTCTTAGAAATGGACAAAACAGATTGTGAGATAATTGGTTTAGCTTTAGATACTCTGTGCAATATAACAAATCCTGAAACATTTGACGAAGAAGAAGGTAAGGCTGTAATTTTAGCAACATTAATACAATGATTTATATTTAATTGCTATTTGTACAGTTTCAGTGGACAAGCATGATTCTAAGAACAATATAGGGGAACAATTTACAGAAATATTCATTAAACATCCAGATAGTGTTGGATTGGTATTAGCATTTCTCGAAGAATTTGATTTTCATGTTAGATGGCCAGCATTAAAGCTGTTAACATATTTATTGGCAAACAGATCTAAAGACATTCAAGAAATAATTCTGGTCAGTCCTATGGGAGTCTCTAAATTGATGGATTTGCTGAGTGACAGCAGAGAAGTTATACGCAATGATGTATGTTAAACTATTTTTCAATGAATATTTATCAAATAAGAAGATTACTTTTTCTTTAATATACTTATATTTATTTATACTTAGGTTTTATTACTACTCATTCAACTAACAAAAGGTAATGCAAATATACAAAAAATAGTAGCATTTGAAAATGCATTTGACCGAATATTTGATGTTATTGGGCAAGAAGGTAATGCAGATGGTGGTATTGTTGTGGAAGATTGCCTTTTGCTAATGTTAAACCTTCTCAGAGGAAATGTTAGTAACCAGAACTTTTTTAAAGAAGGTAATATCTTTATAAAATTACTGATAACTTTGCACACATGTTATGATATCTAAATTATATTGTTTTTCATTTCCCTTTTCATGTTACAATAGGTAGTTACATCCAAAAATTAACACCAATGTTTCAAATACCAAATGAAATAGAGGACAATAATCTCAGTGGATGGAGCCCACAGAAGGTGTCTAATGTTCATTGTATGGTACAAGTTATACGAGCATTGGTAGCTCCAAGTGCTCCTGCTCAGGTAAAAATAATATTGACACAAAAATATTTATAAAAAAATGTAATATATATATATATATATATATATATATATATATATATATATATATATATATATATATATATATATATATTATATTTTTTT